TCTTGAGACTCTATACCAAGTAGAGCGATTGCTGAGTTATGTGGTATTTGCAATTCCATTCATCTGAAAAAGTGCCATTCCATTTTCTAGAGTAGTTACACCATTGTACAGTCTCATGTTCATTAATATAGCCATTTAAATTTGGAACTTAATCACTCACAAGGAAAAAGTACTGGTAGGGTAATTTATTGAGGTGGGCCACTTTGTCATAGTCTCATATCTAACATGTTTACTTTTCTTTTCACCATTTATCTTCCTTACACTGGCCATAGAGAAAAATGGTCCATTCACTAGTTCTAGATGTTTTAAGCCTACAGGTTACTATGAAACGGAACACTGAAGTGAGAAGCAAATGAAAGATAGTATTTTTTGGCATAATTTAGCAGCTCATCAACTTCATGCTCCTAAAGAAGAACACATGGCTTAGGGAAAGGAGATTAGCTAAATAAATAGAAAGCTTGTTATTAAAAAAAAAAAACAAAAAAAAAAACTTTGCAAGTGTTTCCTGTACTCCTTAGATATATTTGGAATACAGCTGGCTATGAGATTGAACAAAGAGCTCTTTGGTAGAGCAGTGGTTATGAATCGGGCTGCTAACCTCAAAGTCAGCAGTTTGAAACTACCAGTCATTCAATGGGAGAAAGATGAGGTTTTCTGCCCCCGTAAAGATTTATACCTCGGAAACCCTATACAGGATGCTATGAGTCGAAACCAACTCCACAGCACACAACCACCACCGCCACCACAATGTGATTCAATACTGTTTCGTCTGTTTCTGGTATCTCCCAGGTCAGCCTTGTTGTCAACCTTCTCAGAAATTTCCTTTGCCCAAGGAGCTAGGCTTGAATAGTAGATGGACTTCGTGCAGCTCCCTGTCCCCAACAGTTATGAGTGTTTTAGGAATCACCTGTAGATTTTCTTACTGGGTGGAAGCCTTCCCTGGCCACAAGGCCACCATCACTTTTGTGGAAAGAAAGTTTTGGAAAATATTATCACTATCTGGGAAATATTATCAGAACCCCTTGCAGTGAAAAATACATCTCATTTCACTGGTCATTTTATTGGCGTCCTGGTGTGGGACTGTGCGATAAAGCAAGTGCAAGGTCAGTTTGAATCACAAGGTTGGTAGTTCAAACACACCAGCTGCTCCTTGGAAACCCTGTACGGGGTCACTATGAGTCGGAACCAACTTGATGGCACTTAACAATAACAACAACAACCTGGGGAGCTCCCCAAACCCCTTTCAGTGAAAAAGGCACCTTATTTACCGGGTCAAGTCATAATGTATTTTACCTAGTTTTCAGAGACTTCCTTGTCCTTATCACTCACATTGTCCTAACCACATCATTATCCTTATCACTTATCTTATGCTATTGTGGCTGGTGATTGTGTGCCCTGGAGTCGGTTCCGACTCCTAGAGACCCTGTATAGAGTTTCCGAGGCTGTAAATCTTTATGCGAGCAGAAACCTCATCTTTCTCCTGCGGAACAGCTGGTTGTTTTAAACTGCCCAATTGGCAACCACTATGCTACCAGAGTACTGGTGTGGCCCTGTGGGCTAATGCATCAGACAGCGAAGTCGCTTGAACTGCAAGGTCTGTGTTTCAAGCTCACCGGTTGCTCCTTGGAAACCCTATACAGGTTCGCTATGGGTCGGAATCTACTCGATGTCACTTAACAACAACAACAACAACGCTACCAGAGCTCCTTTCTACTTGCATAGTTGAATAGAAGATCCATTCCCTTTGGCTCACACATATTAACACTTCATGAAATTGCCATCAATTTAACCTTTCCTTATGGATCAGGTGTAATAGACTCTAATTTAACACAAAACTCCTGGTATGGCACCGTGGGTTAATGCACTGGATTGCAAAGTCGTTTGAATCACAAGGTGGGTGGTTCAAGCTCACCAGTCACTCCTTGGAAACCATATACCGGGTCGCTATGGGTCAGAATCGACTCGACGGCACTCAACAAGTATAGCAAGCGGCATTGTGGGAAAATGCGCTGCACTGCTAAGTCAGTTTGAACCGCAAGGTGTGCAGTTCAAGCTCACCAGTTATTCCTTGGAAACCCTAACAGGGTTGCCATGGGCTGGAACTGATGCGATGTCACTTAAAAACACAACATCTTCATTACCCCATTGTTGTCATCATTATCACAACCACCACCACCAGTATCATTTTAATTTTTATTAGCATTCAAACACTCCTATTTCTCATTATGTTTTCTTGGGACTTGTTACTAGATTTCCAAAAGATAAATTTCATTTTTTAAAACACAAAACTGTATATATTTGTAAGATACATACATATAGAAAATTATAGCAAAGTGTATGTTGTTTTAAAATGTAATTTTATTGATTTTGTTGCTGTTGAGAATACACACAGCAAAACAGCACCAATTCATCAGTTTCTACATACAATATGATGTGACATTTATTACATTCACCTTCCACATTCATATAAATTCAATGCCTAGAAGGTTCCTGTTTAATCTTTTAAATTGCTGCTGTCAAGGTTGTCTCACATAGACAGTTATCTAAAGAGCACAATGCTCAAGGCAGACCTTTTTGTTTTTTAATTACTAAGCCTAGTGAATTACAAACTACACTGCTAACTGCAAGGTCACTAGTTTGAAAATAGCAGTTAACTCTGCTGGAAAAAGATGAGGCTTTCTGCTCCCATAAAGATTTACAGCCTCAGAAACCATATACAGTGTCACTGTGAGCCAGAACCGACCACCACCACCACCACCACTAATCTAAAGTCTTGTTCGGGTTTAAGAAGATTTCAGGGGATAAATTTGGCTTAACATTTAAAGATTATCTCAGGACAATAACTTCAGGGATTCACACAACCACCCAGAAAGTCCACAAAAACATCTGTTTTTTAAAGGCACTGTCTATGAGCTCTGACTCAATTGAAGTCTTGGAGAACATGGGAAATGTTGGTTACCACTGTCAAACGCCTGAGTAAGAAATCTTCTCCTGAAAGCATTCTTCTGAGCTTCTCCAGAAATCACAATCTTTTTATAGAGGTATGTCTTCTGTTCCCTGGCACTGGGCTCTCCCTTTTCATTGTTCCAGAGGGCCAGAACATGTCAGGATGCATCATTAGGTAGCATAGTTTTGAAATGATTTCTGCTCCAAGCATGTCATAGTCTGTGCTTCCTGTACCCTCACTTATAACTACAAAGATGCTTAAGACCATTTTTATCCCAGAATAGTGAATTAGTGATAGGACCTTTTAGGAGTCCTTGCTGAGATAATGGTTGATGTTATTGCTGAGTCAATGATGACTCATGATGATTCTATGTGCAACAGAATGAACCATTGCCTGGTCCTGCACCATCTTTACAACTGTTGCCATGCTCAAGTTCCTTGTTGTCACTGTATCTGGGAGCCTTCTAAAACAGAGGGCTTATGTTCTAGTGCTCTATCAACCAATATTCTATTGAGAGCCATTGGGCTTTCATTAACTGATATTTAGAAACTGATCATCAGGCCCTTTTTCTTAATTTGTCTTAGTCTCTGGAAGCCTCTCTGGTAACCCTACTGGTGTTTGAAATAGTGGTGGCATAGCTTCCAGCAGTAAGCAACACATAAGCTATGGCAGTACATCAAATTGATAAAGATATGGTGGCTGAGGTAATCATCCAGCCTGATGTTGTCCCTGTTAGCAAATGGAAGACATTTATGACATATTTTAAGTGAAAATGAGACTGGTACAGACATTTACTGCTACCATGGTCATGGCCAGCAAAGGACTGTTCATGGTGCACCTGGACCCCTCTGTCAGAAACAGACAGAGATGTACCACATGCCCTTGGGGGACATTTCCAAAGACTGCATTCCCAATTGGAGCAACTTCCACTATTTTTGACCTGAGTCATTCTTCTACTTGAAATCGTTAACTTCTTATACTTAAGGAAGTATGTAATATAATTGCCTTTTACAAATGAAGAATAATTACCGTGCAACAATTTGCTATCATTTCCAAGGCAAATTAATTACTGCCAGAGATCACATGAGAAATCATACCTATTTCAGCAAAAATTCTTCTCTGACTTGAAAGCATCTGACTATTTCCAAAATTCTCACTAATTTATTATGTTCATGGTATGGATTCTATTTTGTAATTCAGACCTGGGATTACTATACTCTAGTTGCAGGACCAAAATTTCTTCTTACATCACTGCTAATTTCCTATAATAGCTGCTTTGTTTTCATAATCTATTTTTCCTTTGTGTCCAAAATTAGACATTACTGTGCAGATATTGCAGTACATCTGCCTTAACTCTAAAGGCTTTATTGATTATATTTCTGTTTCTCTAGTCAATTCTGCTTCCATAATTTCTGTAGATAATTGTAGACTACAGGAAATTCTTGAAATGTTCATTTGAAAAAGTATTTTTGCATGTAAATGCGCTCTTCTTGGTTTTATGGTATCTGAAATGCTTTCTGTTTCTGTGGTGGGAGAACATTTTTATCTGTCATACTTAATCAGGTAAAATTTGAAAGAAGGTACATTTTGTTGGAAGGGATTCTTGGAGACTCCCTTTGATGCTAAACTCCTTTCAGATATATTATTTTTCCTGTTGTAAAATAAAACTCCACTCTAAGTGCAGTTATGTAGAAAATTATTCAAGTATGTTGTTGATGATAATGTTTTACCTACAATCAGTTCCTCATTATGACTTTTGTGGACCCTATAAACTTTTGTCTATAAAGGCATCTTATTCCATAAAAATGTGAAAACTGTGGATTTATGTTAATCCATTACTGTACAGATGATATAATTTAAGTTGATTTATATTCTTTTCACTTTTGAAAACTATTGCAGCGTATCTTGAGCTCTAGGAACTGTACCTAGTTTGGCTAATTGGTCAGCCCTGTCTACAACATGTGAGCTCCTAAAGCAAATTGATCCAGACAGGATAAGTGAATGTCTCAAATTTAATCAAGAATTATTTATCTAAATACTTTAATAGTAAGATCTATCTTTTGCTGATTTGCATTACTTGATCCCAGAGCTTCTTCATGGCATTTTTTACTTCTGCGTTTCTCAAGGTGTAGATTAAAGGGTTCAACATAGGAGTTATTAGGGTGCAAAATACAGTCACTGCTTTGTCAGCAGAGAAGGAAGTCATGGGTCTCAGATACAGGAATGAACAAGGTACAAAGAATAAGATGACAACCATGACATGAGAGGCACACGTAGAGAGGGCTTTACGGCGCCCTTCAGCACTGTAACTCCTTAGGGAGTGCAGGATAATGATATAGGAAGTGACGAGCATTAAAAAAATGAGCAAACATAGTGATCCACTATTGGCAGCAATTAGGGGCCCCAAAATGTGAGTGTCTGTGCAGGCCAACCTCAGGAGGGGTATCAAATCACACATAAAATGGTCAATGACATTGGGGCCACAAAATGGTAATTGAACCATGAACAAAAGCTGGATTCCTCCATGAATAAACCCCAAAACCCCAGCCATCCCCACCAGAAAAGTACATAGAGGCCTGCTCATGATGGTTGTGTAGTGTAAGGGTTTACAGATGGCCACATAGCGGTCATAGGCCATTG